ATTCCTACACACACGCAAGATCATGGTGATGTATAGCAACGAGAGGGGAGAGTGTTGTTTACATACCCTCGTAGACCGTAAGCGGAAGCGTTATGACAACGCGGTTGATGTAGTCGTACGTCTTCACGATCAACCGATCCTAGTACCGAAAGTACGGAACCTCCGCGATCCGCACACGTTCAGCTCGGTGACGTCCCACGAACTCACGATCCAGCAGAGTGTCGAGGGACAGCTTCATGAGCACGATGGCGTGATGACGGTGATGATGGTGCTACCGGAACAGGGCTTCGCCTAAGCACTGCTACGATATGACCGAGGTGGATTATGGTGGAGGGGGGCACCGCACACGGCTGGAAACAATCAACTTGTGTGTTCTAGGGTGCCCCTGCCCCCCGTATATAAAGGAGCAAGGGGGAGGCCGGCCGGCCTTGGGGCACGCCCAGGAGGGGGAGGAGTCCTCCTCCTAGTAGGAGTAGGACTCCCCCTTTCCTAGTCCAACTAGGAAGAGGGAGGGGGAAGGAAAGAGAGGGAGAGAAGGAGGGAAAGAGGGGGCGCCGCCCCCCTCCTTGACCAATTCGGACTCCCAAGGGGGGGAGGGCAGCCCTATGGCCCCTCCTCTCTCTCTCACAAGGCCCATGTTGGCCCATTAGTTCCCCCGGGGGTTCCAATAACCCCCTAGCACTTCGATAATTATCCGGTGACCCCCGGAACTCATCCGGTGTCCGAATATAGTCATCCAATATATCAATCTTTATGTCTCAACCATTTCGAGACTCCTCGTCATGTCCGTAATCACATCCGAGACTCCAAACTATCTTCGGTAAATCAAAACACATAAACTCATAATATCGATCGTCATCGAACGTTAAGCGTGCAGACCCTACGAGTTTGAGAACTATGTAGACATGACCGAGACACGTCTCCGGTCAATAACCAATAGCGAAACCTGGATGTTCATATTGGCTCCCACATATTCTATGAAGATCTTTATCGGTCAAACCGCATAACGATATACGTTGTTCCCTTTGTCATCGATATGTTACTTGCCCGAGATTCGATCGTCGGTATGTCAATACCTAGTTCAATCTCGTTACCGGCAAGTCTCTTTACTCGTTCCATAATGCATCATCCTGCAACTAACGCATTAGTCACATTGCTTGCAAGGCTTATATTTATGTGCATTACCGAGAGGGCCCAGAGATACCTCTCCGATACTCGGAGTGACAAATCCTAATCTCGATCTATGACAACTCAACAAACACCATCGGAGACACTTGTAGAGCATCTTTATAGTCACCCAGTTATGTTTTGATGTTTTATAGCACACAAAGTGTTCCTACGGTATTCGGGAGTTGCATGATCTCATAGTCAGAGGAACATGTATAAGTCATGAAGAAAGCAGTAGCAACAAACTAAACGATCATCGTGCTAAGCTAACGGAATGGGTCAAGTCAATCACATCATTCTCTAATGATGAGACCCCGTTCAAATGACAACTCATGTCTATGGTGAGGAAACATAACCATCATTGATTCAACGAGCTAGTCAAGTAGAGGCATACTAGTGACACTCTATTTGTCTATGTATTCACACATGTACTAAGTTTCTAGTTAATACAATTCTAGCATGAATAATAAACATTTATCATGATATAGGAAAATATAAATAACAACTTTATTACCTAGGGTATATTTCCTTCACGAGGATTCCAGCGTCTTTGACTGGGGGTCACAACTTTCCAGTACCGACAAACGTTGGTCCCAACAATTCACGCCGCTAGTCCCAACAACTCTTGGCACCGGTTGTAGCATGATTGCTCGTTGTTTGTAGCTTAGTTGTTGATCCCAACTCGTCGATGATCACAACAAAGGAGGATGAGGGGGTGGGTGGTGCACAACCATGGCGTCCACGTGATGAGGTGGCATCCTCCCTCCTAGCCCTCAATTTGTTGTGATCCCTGCCTGTCCCAACCACAACACCAATCACCTCACCCACGCATCAAGTACATGTGTGTGATCCTGCCCTGTGCGAGCAACGACGGTGGTGGGGGAGAAGATGCTATCATTGACAGGGGAAGGAAGTGCTTGCATCAGTAGTAGGTGGTCGGCCCCGTTGGTGATGGCGAGTGTAGGATCGTAAGTAGGTTTACAGAGGTGCTGATTAGACTACTTGACTAAATAAAATCAAGCCATTTCCCAATTTTAGTTCTTGGCAAGCTTTAGCAATTCAAACAAGTCAAGCAACACCCTACACATGCAAGTCTAGATAGTAGGTAGCAAAAAGTAAAGACTTTTCATATGAACGTAAAGGAGGGATGGAAAAAATCAAACGAAATGAAGACACGGTGATTTTTGGCGTGGTTCAGATAGGTGGTGTTATAGTACATCCACATCAATGGAGACTTCAACCCACGATGGGTAACGACTACTCGAGTCCACGGGAGGCTCCACCCACAAAGGGTCCATGAAGAAGCAACCTTGTCTATGCCACAACTTCCGTCGATGAAGGATTAGCCTTACTCGGGGTAGATCTTCACGAAGTAGACAATATCGGTGCCCTTACAAACTCCTTGGCAACTCCATAAGATTTAGAGGTTCCCAAGTGACACACCTAACCAATCTAGGAGACACCACTCTCCAAAAGGTAATAGATGTTACTGTTGATGATGAACTCCTTACTCTTGTGCTTCAAAAGATAGTGTTCTCAACACTCAATCACTCTCTCACAGATTTGGCATGGTAGTAGGAGAAGGATTGGAGTGGAAAGTAACTTGAGGGGGCTAGAAACCAAGGAATAAAGGTTAGAGTGTGATCCCCTTGATTTCAACACAAGTGTAGGTGGTTCTCTCTTAGAAAATGGATATACGAAGTGGTGGTTTCGTTCCGGTTGCTCTCTCTAAGAGTAGGTGTTGTGGGTGGGGTATATATAGCCATTACCAAAAATTTAACCGTTACACACCTTTATGCACAAATCAATGGGACCGAGTGGAACCACTCGGTGAGACCAACCAGTGCAAAAGGTTTTAACTTTAGGCATTTCGGTGAAACTAGATGAAACAACTCGGAGGGACCAATTGATGATGAACTAAGCACTTTCCTCGCTTCGGTGATAGCGATTGATTTCACTCGGAAATTCCGTGATGAAAACAATGGGTTACAAAAGGTTGGCATGCGCACTTCGATGGGACCAAATGTCATCTCGGTGAGACCGAGTTTTTAGGGTTTAGGCAGTGCTCTGTCAAGTGTATCTCAGTGGGTCCGGAAAGATGTGTATTGATGGGACCGAGATAGACTTTAGGATTTTGGACAGATAGGAAAGTGAGGGTGTGGTTGAGGATTTTTAGAGCAATATCTCTAAGCACTTGAGCAATTGACTTACGATCAAAATCTCATCCCTTTTAATAGTATTGGCTTTCCTATGGACTCAATGTGATCTTTGATCACTTAACCAAAAATGTAGAGTCTTAGAGCTTTTGCCAATGCTTTGTTCTTTGCATTTGAGGGGTTCACATTCACATCTCATTGCCTTACCTAAATGAACTTTCCTGAAATATTTTTTTGAATATGCATTAGTTCAATGATGTATATGTTGTTATGAATTAAACAACCAGGGGATTAGTTGCACTTTCAGCGAGCTAGTTCTACGGTGGTGTGAGGACAATGGATTTTGATGGAGCGGCGAGAGAGAAAAAGATAGGGTGCGAACGAGTGGCTCACACACCGCCGTATGAAGAAATAAGGAACATACATCTGCTCTGGCACCGCCGCTCAAGTTTAGAAGGGGGGAGGGCGAATGATCATGATGTGATGACGGATGCGGTGCGCGCTGT